AAGTTTAGGGCCAGGGATATAGCTCAGTGGCACAGTGAGGAAGCATGAGGTCATGAGTTTGATTCTTGGTACAAAAAAAAAAAAAAAACTTGAAAAAATGTTTGGTTCACACCTAACAACTACGCATGTATTAGTATAACATGATACTTGGATCCGTGTAATGTATCAGATTACACATCACATTCTTATGATGATCAGTGGGAATGTGATATCCATTACTTAAATATTTATCATTTTTGTGGTGACAGCATTCAAAAACCTCTATTTTACTGTTTACATATTTTTTTCTAGCCACTTAAATATACATGCGTAATACTTCTGTGCAGTAGAAACCATGATTTTTTCCTGCTCCAACTGAAAATTGTTCCCTTTAGCCTCTGTCCTTTGGCTTCCCTCCGCGGTCCATAGTAACCGGTATCATACTCTCGACTAAGAAATCAACATTTGTAGAACCCACATGTGAGTGAGGCCAGGGGTTATCTGTCTGCCTTCCGGGTTCATGCATGTTGTCACAGATGACAAGAGCTCACCATCCACATGGCTGACACTACTCTCTAGTGCATATACTGCATGCCATACTCTCTTCTGCAGATGGACAAATGAAGTTGACTCTATCTCTTGACTATTGTGAATAATGCTGTCAATAAGCAGGCGTGTAGGTGTGTTTATATACTAATTTTTACTTTTTTTAAAAATTACTACATGTTAGGCTGGGGGTGATGGGGGTTGCACACCTATAATCCCTGCACTCAGGAGGCTGAAGCAGGAGGATTGTTTTAAATTGGATGCCAGCCCGGGCTACACAGAGAGTTTAAGACCAGCCTAGAACACATAGCCAAGACGCTGTCTCAACAAACCAGAAAAAACCAAGTCTTTTGGCAGATCATCATCATCCACCCCTCCTGAGGAGCTTGCACTGCACATAACACTTGTCAACTCTTTCACCCCTTCCCTATCCCTCTGCTCCGTTTGTTGGTCTCCTTCCCATTTAGATCTTCCTCCCTGTTTTCTATTACTGATCTTTTATTTTGCTTTTATATTTTGTGTTTCTCATTTAAGATGGGCCATGTGACATTTAGGGGCTTGTGTGTCTGATTTCTTTCACTTAACCTTATGGCCTCAAGGAGCATCCACTTTCCTATAGACGACTCTAGCTTCTTCTTATGGCAGAGTAAGACTACATTGTGTATAAAGGCCACGTTTGCTTTATCTGTTCATCTGTTGATGGACGTAGAGGCTGCTTCCACAATTTAGCTGTTAGGAATTAAATTTTTTTTTTGGAACTCAGGCCCCTGTGCTTGCCAGGGAAGCGCTTATTCTACTGAGCCACCTCCCCAGCCCCCAGCTGTTAGGAATTGTGCTGCTGTAAACATGGGTGCACATGTGTCACTGTAGCACGCCATTTTTAACTCTCATAGGGAGATATCTAGAAGATGAATGGCTGGGTCAAATGGAATTGTGCGATGGTCCTCCTGTTTCTGCCTCCCAAGTGCCGAGATTACAGGCATTGTGTCCCTACACTGAGCCTAGCGTTTTTTTTTTTTTTTATTTCTTGGTCATAGCCTTGTTTTCTGGAGTAAGATGGAATTTCAGTGTAGTCTTAACTTGCATTTCTCTAATGGCTAACAATGTTGCACATTTTTTCATGTATTTATTGGCTATCTGTGAGAAGTTTCTATTCATTTCAGTTCCCCATTTTTATTGGGTCTTTCACTGGGGGAAGCCTTTTTTTTTTTTTTTTTTTTTTTACTTCTTTGTATATTCTAGATGTTTGTTCCCTGAGGAATTGCTGGCCGAAGCTTGTTCCCATTCCAGTAGCAGTGTGAAAAGATGAAAGTCACCCAGACCAACCAAAGCAACACCTGCTGCATCCTACATCTCACGCCTGCATCCTGCAGCCTTGCCCTGTGCCCAAGAGAAAGGCAAAAGGGGTCCCCAAAGGAGAATGAGTCAAGGCGAAGGACAAGCCACAGAAGATAGCACACTGTCAGCTAAGCCTGCCCAGGCTAAAAATGCCCCTGCAAAGGCAGAAAGGGAACCGCTCAGCAGCAAAGGTGGGAAGGTGCTGCAGACAATGAGGAGCAGGCTGACAGATGCAGTTTGGAGGGGGCTGGAGATGCTGAGGGAAGTGTGCACACCTTCGACAGCTGCGCTTCTAGTGACTGTACAGCTTGAAACACTAGTTTTTACAAGTTTTATACAAAGACAGGATTTATTTTTACTGTTTAAAAAAGCTATGTTGTTAGCACACAGAACACTTTCCTGTTGTTTTGGGGAAAGATGCAGTCACTAATTCCATGTCTCCAAGGTTGGGTCCATGTAGGAAAACCATTGCCCCCTGCTCCATTAGAGAGACTTCCTCCTGGCAAGGACACACACAGTCGCCTTGTGTGTGGGAGAACTCCCAGCTGATGTAAGCCTCCTTCCTTCCTCTGCCGTCAGCATGGACTTAACCCCAGAGACCTACTGCGAGCTAACACCTTTTCAGCTTATGAAAAGTTGTTGTACAACAGGCTAAGTGTCAACCCTCACCCTAAACTTTCCCTACTCAGAGCATCAAATGAAGGCTGCACTGGATTTTACAGTGGCTGATTTTCGGTAGTCCATCCAGAAAGAGCTTGAAAGTTGTATGCTGCTAATAACTGTGTGCCCATGGCCTGCCTCAAATACTATGATTGCTTATGAAAAGGATCTTTAATAAGGATTTTTTTTGGGGGGTGCTGGCTCAGGCTGCCTTAAGGGCAGGTCTGGTAAGGCATGAGGAGCTGGGGATCAAACCACAGGGTATCCTACGCCTGACTGCATTTACATAAGCAGGCGCTTAAACTGAGCTAACTGGCACGTCCCCAAAAGAAACATTTTCTGCCTAAGTTACCACAGAATAAGATTTTTTTTTTTTTTTTTTTTTGAGTCAGGCTGACCTGGAACACATTGTGTAGCCCAGGCTGGCCTTGAACTGTCAATCCTCCTGCCTCAGCCTCCTGAGTGCTGGGATTACAGGTCTGTGTTGCCACCCTTGGTTTGAAATGAAATATAAAGAAATAATTTGTATTTTGGATTGCATCCCCCAGAAAAAGAGACAAAAGAAAACACACATATATAAAATCAAGAACATGTCTCTATGCCAGTAATAATCACAAATACCAAAACATCTGAAACAGACACAAGAAATGAAGTGATTTTACTGAAGATGCACTCCCAGGACTTTGGGGAAATGGCGACTCTGACACTCACACATCTCACCCTGGGGCCCTCAACCCCCCTCTTTGGCTCCATAACACTTTGATCTCATGCGTCCCAGATCCTTCCTCTGCAGATGGGGCCCGACCTCAGACTGCTCTGGCCGCCACTCTCTGGCCACTGCTCCCGGAAGGCCAGCCCGCTCTGCCATTAGCCCCGCAGCTAATGCATCTGAACCACAGATTGGCCCTGCTTCTTTCCCAGGTAGCCCAACTCCATCTTCCTCATCTGTGAGTCAGGCTGGAGTCCCCAAAGGCACCAAATAGTTTCTTTCCAGATAATTTTCAAGCAAGTGATGTGGGGTGTGTGTGTGTCTGTGTGTGTGTGTGCGTGCGCTAATGGACTTTCCATGGAAGGGACGATGTAGCTGAGGATGTACTGAGCAGCCGCACCCTGTGGGCTCTGACCCAGTGATTCTTCTCAAAGGCAGTAAGGAGTGCTGTGCCCACCTCAAGGGATGAAGGGCTTTCATTATGTAGTCAGGACTTTACCCAAAAGTAGACTAAACTGGTACCTAGAACTACTGTACCTCCTAATTCAGAAAAAAAAAATTCATTTTTCTTACTTTCATATTTATATACTGATCCTAATAGCTGAAAGAAAAGAAAAATAACTAAATTCAAGTTACGAACTGGGTTCCAGGTTCTTCCCAGTGGTAGAATGTTTGCCAAGCATGCACAGCCCCTAGGTTTGGTCCCCAGGACAGAAAAGAAGTGACAAGTTAACTAATGGGGTTAACTATTAGAAACAAATAGGAAGTTGTTATGACACCAGAGCTGAAGAGTAACAGAAAATAAAACAACACATTTCAGGGAGAAAATTAGGAGCAGCCTCACCTGTGACTTGCACATCCACGGCTCAGTGGAGCCTGGGCTCAAATCCCAGGGAAGGTCACTCAGAGCGAGCGCCAGGTTTTCCTGCAGGTACACGTCTGCAGACAGGCCCTGACTATGCAGCCCAGGGTGGTAGTAAACTCTCCATCCTCCTGCCTTAGTCTCAAGAGTCCTGGGTTATGGGCGTGCACCACCACAGCTGGTTCAGATTGTCTATTTTTAAATTTAAAATTTTTTTCCCCCTGTATTTTAGGGAAGGGTCTACAGGATGTTTAGGGTCTCACTACTAGATCAGACTCATAGTGATTCTCTTGTTTTCAGCCTCCCAAGGGCTGGGATTACAGGTGCGCGTCACCACACCCAGTCTCAGTTGCCTTCTCAGCGGGCCCCGGGGGCAGGATCAAACCCCCAGCCCTGGCTCCTGTTTGCAGGTGCTTTAATTCACTGAGCTATTTGGCCGGCCCTTCATTTTGCTTTGATACAGGGTTTCGCTATGTGTTTCTGGTTCTCCTCAAATCTAGATAGTTCAGTAGAATAAATGCTTGCCTGGCAAGCACAAGGGCCTGAGTTCAATCCCCAGTTCCACAAAAAAAAAAAAAAAAAAAAAAAAAAATCACAACAATCCTCTTGTTTCAGCCTTCTGAGTGCTGGGGTTACAGGTATGCAGAGTGTTAGGTTTAAATTCTGGAAGGAAAGGCCAGGGCCTGAACACCTCCAGCATAGGAAGTCTGAAGGGTGGAAGTCAGGTTTGGCCTCCTTTGAATGCTACGGATTCCTACTTGCATGCTACGGATTCCTACTGGTCTGAGGCTGGAAAAAAGCTGCAGCAAGGCTTGCTAGGCTGTGCAGCAGTTCTGACACTAACAGCATTAACACTGCTCTGGACAGAGGACACAAAGCCTCAGAGAAACCATAAGACACAAGGCATAGAGCACTAGAGTGGCTTTGTTCCAGGAACTCTGCCTTTAGATGAAACTCCAGGGTCACAAAAACAGAAATCAACTGCTTTCTGAGCCGTCTTGGAGACACAGAACACTGCCACTGGCCAGCATGCCAGAGCCCAGGAAAGATGGCAGAGCTGCCACAACCATACATCCCCTGTGACACTGGAAGATTCCCCGGAGTCCATGCTGCAGCCCAACTTGCTTGTCACAGTCTCACCAGAAACAGGGATCAGGTTGCACCACCCATGCAGTGAGGACAGCTGGGGGTGCCCTGGTTCTGGGCAGCAAGGTCTCCAGAACCTTTGGATAAGGAGACAGGGTCCTGGCTGGGAGAAAGAGAGTCCCCGATGACCTCCGAGCTGCGTGGGCTACCATCCCGCACGACGAGCACCTGGGTGGCTGTGAAAGTTAATGGAACGAAGCCTTCGCTGTCAGCAGAGAGCAGGATCCAATGGGAGTCTGCAAGAAAAAGAACCACATGGGTGATTTGGAGTTTTAGCTCTATAAAGAAAAGAAGACTACAGAACGAGAGAGAGAGAGAGAGAGAGACAGAGAGAGAGAGAGAGAGAGAGAGAGAGAGAGAGAGACCCATAACCTGCACCTGGAGGCTGAGGCAAAAGCAAGTTAGAGGCAGCTTAGGCTACACGTAAGTTCAAGCCTGCTCTAACTACAGGGCAAGATTGTGCCTCAAAACACCAAGCCAAACCAAACCAACCCTCAAAAAACAGCAAGGAAAAGCTATGCATAGTGGTAATGACCCTATACTCCCTGCATTCTGAGAGGCTGAGGCTTGAATATAAAAAGTTCAAGCCCAGACTATGCAGTTTAAGACAATTAGCAAGACTGTCTCAAAATGTTAAAAAAAAACACCCTGGGTTCAATCTCTAGTACCACAAAAATAAAAAGAACAGCAGCAGAAGAAACAGATGACTAAAAAACTTTTTCTACTATAATATGGTAGTTGATATTGAACCTCCTTATCATAAGATTTTACAGAGAACAGGAGATAAAGAATAGAATGTTATTTAGGTGAGGGCAAGTGGGTGTGGTGTACACCTGTAATCCTAGAACTCCATCTGAGGCAGTAGGACAGGAGTTTGCAGCTAGCCCAGGCTACACAGTGCGTTCTGACCAACCAGGAATATATAGCAAGACCCTGTCTCAAAAAAAAACAAAAAAACAAACAAAAACAGGCTGGGCATGATGGCACACACCTGTAGTCCCAGCACTCAGGAGGCTGAGGCAGAAAGCTTGGTACAAGTTGAAGGCCAGCCCAGGCTACAAAGCCCAAGGCCAGTCTGAACTGCATAGCAATACCCTGTCTCAAAAAGAAAACAAACAAACAAAACAAAATAAAATAAAACACAAAACTTAGGATAAGGTTAGATGATCATCCAAAGTCAGCTACTCTGGTACAGTTAAGGGACATGAAGCAGGCATTTATCATTTACCACGCATGCTACACATACAAGCTGTGTGTGTGTGTGTGTGTGTGTGTGTGCGCGCGCGCGCGCATGCACATGCACATAGGTATGCTTCTGTGCTTGCATTAAGGTTGGTTTCAACTTAACGGCCACTAGTGTAACACAATCTCGACCCTTTCTGGATTCTTTAAGTCTGTGTCTCACTTTTTGATGTGTGATTTCACGTCTGAAAATCTGCACTCCCCAAAATAACAAAAATATGCAGAGAAGTCTTTAGAGTTATTTATAATGGTGAAAAACTTAAAACCACTTAAATGTGACAAAGAAATAAATTGACCTTCAGGTATAAAAATAAAATAAATATATGTGACAAAGGAAACATAGCAAAGTGGGGGTGGTGAATGAAAGCAAGAGACAGGAAAAGGAATATTGTGGGACTGTCCTGCTTCCAGATTGTATATGGTGAGATTTTTGGACTTATGTGTAAACATAAGAAGTATATAATTCTTTATGCCTATTTTTAAAATATATTCTAATTTTTAAATGTTTTTTATTATATTCTGTAGGGACTTAAAGTTCAACATATCAATACTTGATGATACCTGTTCCATATTATGCCTAAGATGTTTGACATGCAGACAGATAGTGAGATTAAGCTTAACATCCTAAGTTGTATGGTAATAACAATAAGCTTGTCTTCTGGATGGTTAACAACCTAAGTTTGCAGACCAAAATTAGAGAAAAAGGAGGACTGCAAGGAAAGCCAACATTTTTGCCCTAGCTTTCTAAGGTCAATTAAGACGCAAGACATATGAGAACTTGTACTGTAACGTCATGTAACTCAGTAGTGTCCCAAATTTTCTGATCAAGGAGATTATGGGACCAAAGGGGAAAGTGATCGATGATGTAGAGTGTGCCTAAGGAGAGTCACATGGAGAGAAAACATTCTCTCAGGCTTTCACAGAGAGCACATTGGCCAAGCAATGGCTGTGACTCATCCACATGGCTGACACTGACAAAGGTTCTACAATCTGAGGTACAGGATCTCAGGATAAATCCTGAGGGGATTTCACTGACTTTATCAGACCCAAAAGCTACAACTCTTGTTGCATAGGTCCTGCTTTACCTTGGTCTTAACCATCCAGCAGAAAAGTATAAAAACGAAATATAAGAAGTAAAGCCATGCTGTTATGTTGAGCTGTAAAGGACTCAGGTCAACAATTTCTGACACTGCCAGTCCAGCGGAAGACCCAATACTATTATGGACTACTGGACTCTTTTAGAATATTTTGCTGAGTTTACACACCTATAATATTCAAATAACGGAACAAAAAAGGGTATACAGATGAATGTCCATTTTGTATCTGTGTATTCAAAGTGGTTAGGATAGATATACAGTTACATTCTCTCAATGAATAGAGTGATTTGTTCTAATGGTGTTTGTAAATAGGATATCATGTCTGCACCTTGTACAGCAATTAATGTATGCAATGTGTTAATTATTGAAACTGTCCTACCAATTTGATTTGAAACTGTCTCATTGCTCTTTATCAATAAAATTATGGGGAAAAAAAAGAAAATATGGCAAAGTAAAACTCCACACATCTCAGAATAGACTTTTTTTTTTTTTTTTCAGAATAGACTATTAACCCATTCATTTAAAATGGTAATTGTAAGCCAGGCATAGTGGTGCACAACTGTAATCCTGCACTCAGGAGGCTGAGGTAGGAGGACTGCCATGAGTTCAAGGCCAGCCTGGATGACATAGAAGACCCCATCTCAAGGGAAACAAAAAGATGAAATGACAGCTACAAAGCCATATGATAAATGTACCTGTCAATACAGAAAATGCTATTACAACATTATCTTACTTCCCTTTTCACTTAGCTGGTATTTTGGAAATTTCAGTCCTTGCCTGGTTAGAGGTGGTGGAGAGAGCGTGATGGAGGGAGCTACAGCACGGCTCTGGGGCCACTCACCCAGTGACTTGCCCCTTGCAAGGAGGCACCACCTCCTAACGGCATGTTATAAGCCATCCCCCCACCTCAATCCTGAGGTGTGCAGGGGACATCTAGATAGTGATCCTCCTGTCTCAGCCTCCCCAGTACTGGGATTACATATGTGTGCCACCACACCCAATTTCAGTGGCCGGCTCAGCATGCCCAGGGTTCTGGGGCCAGAACAGCATGCAGTACCTGGGACTGAACTCGGGTCCTTGTACTTGCCAGGCAGGCCCTTAGACTGCTGAGCTATCTCCCCAGCCCCAACAAAAAAATTTTATGTTCAATCTAGGGGCCACTTCTGAAAGAGTGAGACCTAAGAAAACTTCCACGTTCTGTGTTTGAGGCATTGTGGTTACAATTAGTTCCTGGCCATGCAGGCGCATCCTTCCTGCTCCTACGCTAGCCCCACCTGAGAGTGAAAGTTCCCTGAAGAAATATTCTGCAGTGCTGCTGTTTCATCTTTCAGTAGCAACAGGCACAGGGAACACTGTTACCTGACTTCTTCACCACTGCTCTTTACTGCTCTGTAAGTCTTCTCTAGTCCTTTCACATGCACAAAGCACTGTTTCAAGTTCTCAAAGAACAAAATACATATTTTCCATGCACTGAGCAACCTCTAATTGGCGTGGGTAAATAACAGGCAATTAGTGATACCTGTCACCCACGTGCTGAATGGCTGAATCATTTCCAACAAATCACGGATTGTCTGGTGTGTGTATATGTTTTTTGTTTTGCTTTATTTTCTGGCAGTGCTGAAGAGTGAGCCCAGGGCTGGCACACTGATTTTATTGTTTGTTTTGAGCTGAGGTCTCACTAAGTTACCAAGTTCTTCAAGCTGGGCTTGAGCTTGCCATCCAGCCTCAGCCTCAGAGTGCTGGGATTATTTATGGGCTCCCATTGCACCTAGCTGATGGGCACTCTGTCATTACAAGTGGAAGTTGTGAAACAGGGCAAGGACGGGGTGTTCTGAATTTAACCTACCATGCAGCATTTCAACAAGAGAGAGACCAAACATCTGCTGAATCACGCTGAGCCTCAGTTTGCCATCGCAGAGCAGCACCGCTCTTTTTTCAACAGGACCTACGCAGCAGGGTTTCTTCGAATAAAACAAACGTTGTTAAACTGATTGAAAGCACAATGGAGCTAACATTTTTTTCATTGAGGGGGTTGATTTTTTGAGACAGGGTCTTGCTATGTAGTCCAAGCCGGCCTTGAACTCTCAGAGATCCTCCTATTTCAACCTCACAAGTACTGGGATTATAGACATTGCCACTTTATCAGCTCTTCAGTTATTTCAAATATATCTTTTTTTTTTTCTTTGTATTCAGCACAGGGTCTACAAGGTCTCACTACATAGATTGGACTCAGTGATACTCCTGTTTTCAGCCTCCCAACTGCTGGGATTGCAGGTGCACACTACCATGCCCAATCTCAATCGCTTTTTTTTTTGTCTCAGCATGCTGGGGGAGGACCTGCACTGCACCCTGGGGATGGAACCCAGGACACTGCACTCTGCCCAAGTAGGCACTTTAGTCCACAGAGCTATCTGCCTGGCCCTTCAAATGAATACATCTTTGAATTAGAGAAATAATAATAGTTTTAAGAAAATGCTCATACCTTTTTTTTTTTTTTTTTTTTTACTGTGGTAAAATATACATAACAAAATTAACCACTTTACACATTTTAAAGTATACAGCTTGGTGGTATTGAACTCAGGACCTTGCCCTTGCCAGGCAGGCGCTTATATTGCTGAGCTATATACCCTTTTTTTTTTTTTTTTTTTGAGGCAGGGTTTTGCTTTGTAAACCAGGGTGGCTTTGAACTCACTATATAGCCCAGGCTGGTCTCCAACTTGTGGTGATCCTCCTGCCTCAGCCTCCTTAGTGCTACAACTGTGCATAAAAGCTCCTGCACTCAGGGGGCACTGCAGGAAGCACACTGGTGCTGGAAGAGATGCTGTGCTTCACTGACCCGGGAAGCCTGGGTTGCAGGCAAGCTGATCGCCTCTGCAGACTGGCTGAACGTCCACCTCCTAATAGGATGGGCACACACCGCTGTACACCCTGATTTTATCATGGACTTAGTGTGAAAAAAATGACCACTCACTCCCTCTGGCAATTTATATTTAGAAAAAAATACGTATTTATACTTTGATGCTGGGAATTGAATCAAGGGCCTCACCCACATCAGGTAAGTGCTTTACCACCGAGGTATACACCCGATTATTTTTAGTATGTTTTCAGATAGGGTCTTGGCAAGTTCTCCAGGCTGACCTTTGAATTCCAGAAACTTTCCATCTTCCTGCCTTAGTTTTTTTTTTTTTTTTTTTAAATAAACTGAAATAATTTTATATTGTTAATTATATAGTAGTGAGCCCTGCCTTAGCTTCTTTAGCTGGGATTATAGGTACGCACCCCAGCGCTCAGCCAGTAAAAAGTGTATTTTCAGTTGACTTATTTTGTTATAAACCTTTTCCTTATACAATGGAGATATTCTTTCAGACATAGAAAAGTTAGGCCAGCCTCAAATAGCTCAGTGGATTAAAGTGCCTGTTTAGGCAGATGCAGGGGGCAGGGTTTGATATCTAGCCTACTGTGCCGGCCCCACCCCCAGGGCACAATGAGACAGAGACTGAGTGGTGGCATGAGCCTGTAATCCCAGCACTTGGGAGGCTGAAAACTAGGAGGAGCACTATGAGTCTGATCTATATAGTGAGACCCTGTACTAAACACATTAAAAAAAAAAAAATATAT